TTTTCAATTCCCTTTTATTTTAAAGAAAAAAAAAGAAAAGACAAAATGTGCGTAAAATATGCCTCTTGAAATTGTCTTCTTGAAATGTTGACGTCTTTTGAATTTTCTGGTCGATTTACGACCCCAGGATTTTTTTTGATGGCAGGTGTCATTTACAGGCCTGCAATTATTTTGAATATTAAGTGACCATTAGTGCTTTTGTGTGAAATGACCAGAAGGCGGAAGCACTTTCCTTACCAAATCTGCTTAATAGGGCAACAGAGCCATAATGGAAGTTGTGGTGTAGGTTGTAAATTAGAATGGAATGTGTCAGGAAAAAGTCCCTGAAGTTTATGTCTCATTACTTCTTGTTCGTTGTTTTAATTGTTTTAATCGGGGTAATGATTAGAATACAGTTTGTCCTAGGTGTACACAATCTGGTTCATTCGTACATCATATATGTCTATTCATGTACAGATCCTTTTCCCATGTAAAGGATTACAGACTGTTCTGTAGACCTCCCTTGCTATGTGGTCGGGCTTTTTGATATATGTACTTAATCAGTATTTGTATAGGTATGGTAAACCTAATCTTAATTTATCCATTGCCACCACCTTTCCTTTTAGATATGCATAGTTTGTTTTTTAAGTCTGTGTGTGTCTTTCTCTGTGGAAATGTGTCCATATTTGTCAGTTGTTAGGTAACACCTATAAGAGATATCATAGGATATATATCTTTTGCTTTCCAACTTACCTCCTGTTCTGTGTTTATTTCTAGGCTCATCTATGGTACCTCAAAGAGCAGGGTTTCATTGTTTTCCATGGCTAATATTCCATTTTGTACATGGACCACTTCTTCTTTATCCATTCATCTGTTGATGGACATTTAGGTTGCCTCCATGTCTTGGCTATTGTGAATAAGGCTGCAGTGCAGCTTTTGCAGCCTCTGTTTTCTGGATGCTGGTCTTCTCAGGTGAGAGGCTCAGCGGTCTGCCTGCTGCATCGAATGGTAGCTCAATTTTTACTTTTAAATGCAGCTCCTTTCTGTTCTCATTATTGGCTGTTACCACTTTACAGCTCATCAGCAGCTAGAGGGTACACAGTTCTCAAAAACCACTTCAACATTTATTATTTGTAGACTTTTTGTTGATGGTCAGTCGAGCTGTGTGAGTTGAAACCTTTGTGTAGATTAGATTTGCATGAGTGTAATAATTCCTGAGTTTGAGCTTTTATCCATTTTCCCTTTTTTTTAAAAGACAGTGAGTAAAACTTACGTCTTCATACTATCTTCTTGAAAAATGTGCCTGTTTTGAATTTTGTTGGCCATTCCCTACCTCAGCACAACTTTTTAGGGCAGGTTTCCTTTACAGACCTGAGTCCTTGTAAATGTTAAGTGACCATTAGCTGTGGGTTTAAGGCTGCTTTCGCAGCCTAGGTGTTTCTCCTAGGTGTACAGAATCTGGTTCAACATATCAATGTATCTGTCTATTCCTCTTTGGATCCTTTCCCATGTAGGTTATTACAGAGGGTTGAGTAGACATCTCTTGGTATTCCATATGTATTTTGTGATTATATATTTCGTATGTCTTAGTACATGTCTGTTAACCCCCATATCGTAATTCATTTATTCCTTACACCTTTCCATTTAGTTAAACATAATTTTATTTTCTTAGTCCATGCTTTTCCTTCTCTTGGAAATAATTTCATGGGTATCAATTTCTAGGTAACACCTAGAAGTGATGTCATAGGATATCTGTCTTTCAATTTCTTTCTTACTTCAAGTTGGGTGATTATCTCTAGGTCTTTATATGGTGGTGCAAACGGCAGTGTTTCATTGTTTTCCGTGGCTAATATTCCATTGTGTACATGGACCACTTCTTCCTTGTGCATTTTTCTGTTCATGGACATTTTGGTTTCTTCCAAGTCTTGGCTATGTTAAATGTTCCTGCAGTGCAGGATTGCCAGCCTGTGTCTTTTTCATTCTGGTCTGCTCAGGTGATAGCCGCTTCAAAGGATCTACCAGATCACATGGTAGCTCAGTTTTTACCATTAAACGCACCTCCATTATGTTCTCACTACTGACAATATACCTCTTGATAATTGTTACCAGTGTACATCCCCCCAGCAGCTAGAGGGTACACAGTTCTCTCAAACCACTTCAGCACTTATTCTTTGTAGACTTTTTGCTGATGGTAGTTGACTTGTGTGAGTTGAAACCTTTTTGTAGATTAGATTTGCATGAGTCTAATAATTCCTGAGGTTGAGCTTCTATCCATTTTCCTTTTTTTAACAAGAGAGTAAGTCAAACTTACCGCTTCATACTACCTTCTTGAAAATTTTGCCTTTTTTGATTTTTTTTTTGGCCATTCTTCACCTCAGGACATTTTTTGAGGGCAGGTGTCCTTTACACCTTTACACCAGCCCTGAGTTCTTGTGAATGTTAAGTGACCATTAGTTGTTGGTTTAAAGCCGCTCTTGTGGGAAACCGCCACAAGGCGGCAGCATTTCTACATTTCCAACTCTGGGTTTTTGGGCAACAGAGCCTTCCTGGAAATCGTGTTAGTAGGCTGCAAATTAGAGTGGAATGTGCCAGGGCACACCCCCAAAAGCTTATATCTCCTTACCTCTTGTTTGTTTTTTAAATTTAATTTTTATTTATTATCTGAGCAAATTTGATAAAAATGTTGTGTTTGTTCTAGGTGTACAGAATCTGGTTCATTATATCTATGCATCTATCTATTCATCTTTGGTTCCTTTCGCTCGTAGGTTATTACGGAGTGATGAGCTCAATTTTTAACTTTAAACGCACCGTCATTCTCATCTCACTACTGGTTGTTACCACTTTACGTCCCAGCAGCCGCTTGAGGATACACAGTTCTCTAAAACCCTTTCAGCATTCATGTTTTGCAGACTGTTTTGCTGATGATCATTCTGACGGTGGCAAGGTGAACGTTTTTGTAGATTGGATTTGCATGGCTTTATTAGTTCCTGATATTGAGCATTATTCCATGCATTATTTTAAACAAAAAGAAAAAGAAAGAAAAGCCAGAATGTGTGCAAAATATGCCTCTTGACATTGTCGTTTTGAAATGTTGACGTCTTTTGAATTTTCTGTTTGATTTAGGACCCCAGGAATTTTTTGAGGCCCAGTGTCCTTTACAGTCCTGCACATAATTTGAGTATTAAGTGATCATTAGCGCTTGGTTTAAAGCTGCTGTTGTGTGAAACAGCCACAAGGCGGCAGCATTTCTCCTTTACCAAATCTGGTTACCAGGACAACAAAACCTTAATGGAAGTCCTGTTCTAGGTTGAAAATTAGAATGGAATGTGCCAGGAAAAAGCCCCTTAAGTTTATGTCTCACTACTTCTTTTTCGTTTTTTTAATTTAATTTTTATTCTTTATCACAGCAAATTTGATTACCATGTTTTGTTTGTTCTAGGTGTGCAAGATGTGGTTCTTTCACACATATACATATATCTATTCTTCTTTGGATCCTTTTCCCATGTAGGTTATGACACAATGTTGAGTAGTCTTCTCTTCATATTCCATAGGTCTTTGGTGATTATATATTTCACATGTGTTTGTGTATCTCTGTTAACCCCAATATCGTAATGTATCCAATCCTCACAGCTTTCCATTTGGGGAGCCATAAGTTTGTTTAATGAATCTGTGATTACCTTTCTCTGTGGAAATATCTTCATTGTTATCAATTTTTAGGTAACACCTATAAGTGATATCATACGTTAGGTGTCTTTCGCTTTCTCACTTACTACAAGTTGCATGATTACCTCTAGACTCATATATGGTGCTGCAAGTGGCATTGTTTCATTTTTCCCCGAGCTAATATTCCATCTTTACATGTAGCAGTTCTTCTTTATCCACCCATCTGTTGATGGACGTTTTGGTTGCTTCCATGTCTTGGCTATTGTAATACTGCTGCAGTGCAGATTTGCCTGCCTGTGTCTTTCCAATTCTGTCTTCTTAGGTTATAGGCCCAGAAGTGGGCATACTGGATCATATAGTAGATCAATGTTTACCTTTTAAAGGCACCTCCATTCTGTTCCCATTAGTGGCTCTTACCAGGTTACGTCCCACTTAAAATTAAGGGTATGCATTTCTCCACAACCTCTTCAGCATTGATTGTTTGTAATTTCTTTCCTGATGGTTATTCTGAATGGTGTGAGCTGATACCTCTGTGTGGTTGGATTTGCATGTGTCTCATAATCCCTTGAAATTGAGCTTTCAGGCATGTCCTTTTATTTTTCAAACTGTTATTACAGCTTACTTCTTCAAATGGTTTTCTTGAAATATGTGCCATATTTTGAAGTATTTTGGCCTTTACCTCCCTCAAGACATGATGAGGGCAGGTTTCATTTACAGACCTGCAGTACTTGTTCATATGAAGTGACCATTAGCATAGGTTTTAAAGCTACTTTTTCAGGTAACGGCCAGAGCGCGGCAGCATTTCATAATTCTATGAAATGTAATTGAACACACACAATATATTTTTTCTTTTAAATTTCCATTGTTACTTTTTAAAAGTACAATTATAATTCAAGTTCTTACTAACAAGTGCAATTTTAAAAGATTAAAGGAAAGATAATATTTTACCACTTGCCATCCTTTCCCATTAACTGAGACGACAAGCATAACGTGTAGATTTTTATCCAGGTGTTCTATACATCTGAAACATCATGCTTCTCACTGTAGAAAAACAGATTTAACTCTCAAACTTTTTATAGGCTTCATAACAGTCCATAGAAGAGAAGTAGCAAGTATTTCAGACTTAGCGTTTTGACTGACACTAAGGATATTTTCTGTTTTATTCTGTTGTTCTGCTAATTTTTTTTAACCACATAAAAATATTTTTTAAAATACAAAAAAAAAAAGAAAATTAAGTTACGGGTAAGGATTAGGGTTTAGGATATGGGTTAGGTTACGGGTTAGGGTATGGGTTAGGGTATGCGTTAGTGTTAGTGTACAGGTTAGGATTAGGGTACAGGTTAGAGTAAGGCTTAGAGTAAGGGTTAGGGTTATGGTTAGGGAACGGGTACAGTTTAGAGTACAGGTTAGGGTACGACAATGGGTTAGGGTTAGGGTACATGTTAGGGTACAGATCAGTGTTAGTGTATGTGTTAGGTTTAGAGTATGGGTTAGGGTAAGGGTTAGGGTTAGGGTTAGGGTTGGAGAATGGGTACGGTTTAGGTTACAGGCTAGGGTACGAAAACAGGTTAGGGTTAGGGTACGTGTTAGGGTATGGGTTAGTGTTAGTATACGGGTTAGTATTAGGGTACGGTTTAGGGTAAGGTTTAGGGTTAGGGTTAGTGAACAGGTACAGTTTAGGGTAAAGCATAGGGTACAAAACACGTTAGGATTAGGGTACGTGTTACGGTACTGGTTAGTGTGAGTGTATGGGTTAGGATTAGGGTACGGTTTAGGGTAAGGGTTAGGGTTAGGAAATGGGTACAGGTTAGGGCACAGGGTAGGGTATGACAATGGGTTAGGGTACGTGTTAGGGTATGTGTTAGTGTTAGCGTATGGGTCAGGATTAGGGTACAGGTTAGGGTAACGTTTAGGGTTAAGTTTAGGGTTAGGATTAGGGAAGAGGTAAGGTTAAGGGTAAAGGTTAGGGCATGACAATGAGTAAGGATTAGGGTAGGTGTTAGGGTATTGGTTAGGTTTAGGGTACAGGTGACGGTTAGGGTTAGGGTACAGGTTAGGATTCGGCTATGGGATACGGTTAGAGTATGTGTTAAGGTATAGTGTAGGGTTAGGGTACGTGTTAAATTTAGGGTACAGTTTAGGGTATAGCTATGGTTTATGGTTAGGTTATGGGTTAGGGTATGTGTTATTGTTAGAGTATGGGTTAGGATTAGCGTATGGGTTTTGGTTCGGTTTAGGGTTAGTGTTAGGCTCAGGGTTAGGGTACGTGTTAGGGTAAGGGTACAGTTTAGGATATGGCTACGGGTATGGGTTAGTGTACGGGTTAGGATACGACTGAGAATACGGGTTAGGGTATGGGTTAGGGTTAGTGTATGGGTTAGAGTTATGGTACGGGTAAGTGTTAGGGTACAGGTAAGTGCTAGGGTACCTTTTAGGGTATGACGACGAGTCAGTGGTATGGTACGGGTTAAGGTACAGGTTAGTGTTAGGGTATGGGTTAGTATTAGGGTACGGGTTAGAGTACAGTTTAGGGTTAGGTTTAGGGTTAGGTTTAGGGTTAGAACACGGTTTAGGGTACTGGTTAGGGTATGGCAATGGGTTGGGTTTAGGGTATGGGTTAGGGTTAGGGTACGGTTTACGGTTAGGGTACTGGTTACAGTTAGTGTATGGGATAGGGTAAGGGTATGGTTTGGGGTTAGGGTACGTGTTCGTGTTAGAGTATGGTTAAGGTTTAAGGTACTGTTTAGGATAAGCTATTGGTTAGTGTTAAGGTATGTGTTAGGGTACCAGTTAGTATTACTATATGTGGTAGTATTAGGGTACGGGTTAGGGTACGGTTTAGTGTTAGTGTATGGGTTAGGTTTAGCTTATGGGTTAGGGTAAGGGTTAAGGTTAGTGTTAGGGATAGGGTTAGGGAACAGGTTCAGTTTAGGGTAAAGGTTAGAATATAAAAAGAGTTTAGAATTAGGGTAGGTGTTAGGGGACTGGTTAATGTTAGTGTACGGGTTAGGATTAGGGGACGGCTTAGGGTAAGGCTTCGGGTAAGGGTTAGGATTACGGTTAGGGACAGGGTTAGGGTTAGGGAACGGGGAAGGTTTAGGGAACACATTAGTGAATGACAATGGTTTATGGTTAGCGTACGTGTTAGGGTACGGGATAGTGTTAGTGAACGGGTTAGGATTAGGGTTAGGGTTAGTGAACAGGGACGGTTTAGGTTACAGGTTAGGGTACGACAATGGTTTAGGGATAGCGTACGTGTTAGGGTAACGGTTAGTGTTAGTGTACGGGTTAGGATTAGGGGACGAGTTAGGATAAGGCTTTGGAAAAGGGTTAGGGTTAAGGAATGGGGATGGTTTAGGATACAGGTTAGGGTAATACAACAGTTTAGCATTAGGATACGTGTTACGGTACGGGTTAGTGTTAGTGTACGGGTTAGGTTTAGGGGACGGGTTAGGGTAAGGATTTGGGTAAGGGTTAGGGTTAGGGTTATGGTTAGGGTTAGGGAAAGGGGATGGCTTAGGGTACAGGTTATGGTATGACAATGGATTAGGGTTAGCCTTTGTGTTAGGGTAGGGGTTAGTGTTAGTGTATGGGTTAGGATTAGGGGACGGGTTAGGGTAAGGCTTCGGGTAAGTGTTAGGATAATGGTTAGGGTTAGGGTAAGGGTTAGGAAACTGGGACGGTTTAGGGTAAAGATTAGGGTATGACAAAGTTTTAGGTTTAGCGTATGGGTTAGGGTACGGGTTAGTGTTAGTGTACGAGATAGGATTAAGGGACGGGTTAGTGTAAGGCATTGGGTAAGGGTTAGGTTTAGGGATAGGGTTAGGGTTAGGGCACAGGGACGGTTTAGGGAACACATTAGGGTGCAACAACAGTTTAGGGTTAGTGTACGTCTTAGGGTACGAGTTAGTGTTAGTGTACGGGTTAGGATTAGGGGACGGGTTAGCGTAAGGCTTCGGGTAAGGTTTAGGGTTAGGGTTAGGGTTAGGGAATGGGGAAGGTTTATGGTACAGGTTAGGGTACGACAACGATTTAGAGTTAGCGTATGTGTTAGGGTACCAGTTACTGTTAGTGTACGGGTTAGGATTAGGGGACGGGTTAGTATAAAGCTTTGGGTAAGGTTTAGGGTTAGGGTTAGGGAACAGGGACAGTTTAGGGTACAGGTTAGGGTGCGACATGGTTTAGGGTTAGCGTACGTGTTAGGGTACGGGTTAGTGTTAGCGTACGGGTTAAGATTAGGGGACGGGTTAGGGTAAGGCTTCAGGTAAGTGTTAGCTTTAGGGTTAGGGTTAAGTTTACGGTTAGGGAATGGGGACGGTTTAGGTATAGGTTACGGTACGACAACGGATTAGGGTTACCATACGTGTTAGGGTTCAGTTTAGTGTTAGTGTACTGGTTAGGATTAGGGGACGGGTTAGGGTAAGGGTTCGGGCAAGGGTTAGGATTAGGTAACGGGGATGGTTTAGAGTACAGGTTATGGTATGACAATGGTTTAGGGTTAGTGTAGGTTTTAGGTTATGGGTTAGTGTTAGTGTATGGTTTAGGATTCGGGGAATGGTTAGGGTAAGACTTTGGGTAAGGGTTAGGTTTAGGGAACAGCGACGGTTTAGGATACACTTTTGATTATGACTACGGTTTAGGTTTAGCATACATGTTAGGGTATGGGTTAGTGTTAGTGTACGGTTTAGGATTAGGTGACAGGTTAGGGTAAGGCTTCAGGTAAGGGTTAGGGTTAGGGTTAGACATAGGGAACAGGGATGGTTTAGGGTACAGGTAATGGTACGACAACGGTTTAGTGTTAGCAGACGTGTTAGGGTATGGATTAGTGTTAGTGTACGGATTAGGATTAGGGGACGGGTTAGGGTAAGTCTTCAGGTAAGTGTTAGCTTTAGGGTTAGGGTTAAGGTTACGGTTAGGGAATGGGGACGGTTTAGGTACGGGTTAGGGTACGACAATGGATGAGGGTTAGCATACGTGTTAGGGTTCAGTTTAGTGTTAGTGTACTGGTTAGGATTAGGGGACGGGTTAGGATAAGGGTACGGGTAAGGGTTAGTGTTAGGGTTAGGAATAGGGAATGGGGACAGTTTAGGGTACAGGTAATGGTACGACAACGGAGTAGGTTTAGCGTACGTGTTAGGGTATGAGTTAGTTTTAGTGTACGAGTTAGGATTAGGGAACGGGTTAGGGTAAGGCTTCGGGTAAAGGTTAGGTTTAGGGTTAGGAATAGGGAACGGGGATGGTTTAGGGTACAGGTAATGGTACAACGGAGTAGGTTTAGCATACGTGTTAGGGTATGGGTTAGTGTTAGTGTATGGGTTAGGATTAGGGGAAGTGTTAGGGTAAGGCTTCGGGTAAGGGTTAGTGTTAGTGTTAGGGTTAGGGATACGGTTAGGGAATGGGGACAGTTTAGGGTACAGGTTATGGTATGACAATGGTTTAGGGTTAGCATAAGTGTTAGGGTATGGTTTAGTGTTAGTGTACGGGTTAGGATTAGGGGACCGGTTAGGGTAAGGCTTCGGGTAAGTTTTACGGTTAGGGTTTTGGTTAGGGTTAGGGAAAGGGAACCATTTAGGGTACAGCTTAGGGTACGAAATCGGTTTAGTGTTAGTGGATATGTTACGGTACTGGTTAGTGTTAGAGTATGGGTTAGGATTAGGGGACGGGTTAGGTAAGGCTTTGGGTAAGGGTTTGGTTTAGGGTTAGGGTTAGGAGTAGGGATTGGGGACGGTTTCAGTACAGGTTAGGGTACGACAACGGTTTAGGGTGAGCGTACGTGTTAGGGTACGGGTTAGTGTTAGCGTATGGGTTAGGATTAGGGGACGGGTTAGGGTAAGGCTTCAGGTAGGGTTTAGGGTTAAGGTTAGGGTTACAATTGGGGACGGGGATGGTTTAGGGTACAAGTTAGGGTGCGACAATGGTTTAGAGTTAGCTTACGTGTTAGGGTATGGGTTAGAGTTAGCGTACGAGTTAGGATTAGATGACGGCTTAGGGTAAGGTTTCGGGTAAGGGTTAGGGTTAGGGTTAGGGGACCAGGACTGTTTAGGTTTCAAGTTAGGGTACGAGAATGGTTTAGGTTGAGCATACGTGTTAGTGTACGGATTAGTGTTAGCGTATGGGTTAGGATTAGGGGACGGGTTAGGGTAAGGCTTCGGGTAAGGTTTAGGGTTAGGGTTAGGGGACGGGGACGGTTTAGGGTACAAGTTAGGGTGCGACAACTGTTTAGGGTGAGCGTATGTGTTAAGGTAGTGGTTAGTGTTAGCGTACGGGTTAGGATTAGGGGACGGGTTAGGGTAAGGCTTTGGGTAAGTGTAAGGGTTAGGGTTAGGGTTAGGGGACAGGGACAGGGAGGGTTTAGGGTACAGGTTAGGGTGCGAAAACGGTTTAGGGTGAGTGTACGTGTTAGGGTACGGGTTAGTGTTAGCGTACGGGTTAGGACTAGGGGACCGGTTAGGGTAAGGCTTCGGGTAAGTGTTAGGCTTAGTGTTATGGTTAGGGTTAGGGTTAGGGGACAGGGACAGTTTAGGGTACAAGTTAGGGTGTGACAAAGTTTTAAGGTTAGCGTACGTGTTGGGGTATGGGTTAGTGTTAGCATATGGGTTAGGATTAGTGGACGGGTTACAGTAGGGCTTCGGGTAAGGGTTAGGGTTAGGGTTAGGGGACGGGGACGGTTTATGGTACAGGCTAGGGTACGACAACCTTTTAGGGTGAGCGTACGTGTTAGGGTAAGGGTTAGTGCTAGCGTACGGGTTACGATTAGGGGACGGGTTAGGGTAAGGCTTCAGGTAAGGGTTAGGGTTAGGGTTACGGTTAGGGGACAGGGAAGGTTTAGAGTAGAGGTTAGGGTACGACAACGGTTTAGGGTGAGTGTACGTGTTAGGGTCCGGGTTAGTGTTATTGTACGGGTTAAGATTAGGGGACGGGTTAGAGTAAGGCTTCTGGTAAGGGGTAGGGTTAGGGGTAGGGTTAAGGTTAGGGTTAGGGTTAGGGTTAGGGGATGGGGACGGGCATTTTTTAGGGTACAGGTTAGGGTACGACAACGGTTTAGGGTGAGCGTACGTGTTAGTGTATGGGTTATTGTTAGCGTACGGATTATGTTTAGAGGACGGGTTAGGGTGAGGATTCAGGTAAGGTTTAGGGTTAGAGTTAGGGTTAGGTTTAGGGGACGGGGACGGTTTAGGGTACAGGTTAGAATACGACAACGGTTCAGGGTGAGCGTACGTGTTAGGGTACGATTTAGTGTTAGTGTACGGGTTAGGATTAGGGGACGTGTTAGGGTAAGGCTTCGGGTAAGTGTTATGGTTAGGTTCAGGGTTAGGGTTAGGTTTAAGGGACGGGGATGGTTTAGGGTACAGGTTAGGGTACGACAACGGTTTAAGGTGAGCGTACATGTTAGGGTACAGGTTAGTGTTAGCGTACGGGTTAGGATTAGGGCACGGGTTAGTGTAAGGCTTCCAGTAAGGGTTAGGGTTAGGGTTAAGGTTAGGGGATGGGGACGGTTTAGGGTACAGTTTAGATTACGACAATGATTTAGGGTGAGCGTACGTGTTAGGGTATCGGTTAGTGTTAGCGTACGGGTTAGGATTAGGGGACCGGTTAGGGTAAGGCTTCGGGTAAGGGTTAGGGTTAGGGTTAGGGGATGGGGACGGTTTAGGGGACAGGTTAAGGTACGACAACGGTTTAGGGTGAGCGTACGTGTGAGGGCATGGGTTAGTGTTAGCGTACGGGTTAGGATTAGGGCACGGGTTAGGGTAAGGATTCGCGTAAGTGTTAGGGTTAGGGTTAAGGTTAGGGGACGGGGATGGTTTAGGGGACAGGTTAGGGTACGACAACTGTTTAGGGTGAGCGTACGTGTTAGGGTACGGGTTAGTTTTAGCGTACGGGTTAGGATTAGGGGATGGGTTAGGGTAAGTCTTCGGGTAAGGGTTAGGGTTAGGGTTAGGGTTAGGGGATACGGATGGTTTAGGGTACAGGTTAGAGTACAACAACGGTTTAGGGTGAGCGTACATGTTAGGATATGGGTTAGTGTTATCGTACGGGGTAGGATTAGGGGGCATATTAGGGTAAGGCTTCGGATAAGGGTTAAAGTTAGGGTTAGGGTTAGGGTTAGCGTTAGGCTTAAGGTTAGGGAACGGGGATGGTTTAGGGTACAGATTAGGGTACAACAACGGTTTAGGGTGAGCGTATGTGTTAGGGTACGGGTTAGTGTTAACATAAGGGTTAGGATAACTGGACGGGTTAGGGTAAGGCTTCGGGTAAGGGTTAGGGTTAGGATTAGAGTTATGGTTAGTGTTAGGGGAAGGGGCGGTTTAGGGTACAGGTTAGGGTACGACAACGGTTTATGGTGAGCGTACCTGTTAGGGTATGTGTTAGTGTTAGGGTACGGGTTAGGATTAGGGGACGGGTTAGTATAAGGCTTCGTGTAAGTATTAGGGTTAGGGTTAGGGGATGGGGACGGTTTAGGGTACAGGTTAGGGTACGACAATGGTTTAGGGTGAGCGTACGAGTTAGGGTATGGTGTAGTGTTAGCGTACGGGTTAGTATTAGGGGACGGGTTAGGGTAAGGCTTCAGGTAAGGGTTAGGGTTAGGGTTAAGGTTAAGGTTAGGGTTCGGGGACGGGGACGGTTTAGGGTACAGGTTAGGGTATGACAACAGTTTCGGATGAGCATACGCGTTAGGGTATGTGTTACTGTTAGTGTACGGGTTAGGATTAGAGTACGGGTTAGGGTAAGGCTTCGGGTAAGGGTTAGGTTTATGGTTATGGTTGGGGACGGGAACGGTTTAGGGTACAGATTAGGGTACGACAACGATTAGGGTGAGCGTACGTGTTAGGGTACGGGTTAGTGTTAGCATACGGGTTAGGATTAGGGGACGGGTTAGGGTAAGGCTTCGGGTAAGTGTTATGGTTAGGTTTAGGGTTAGGGTTAGGGGACAGGGATTGTTTAGGGTACAGGTTAGTGTACGACAACGGTTTAAGGTGAGCGTACATGTTAGGGTACGGGTTAGTGTTAGCGTACGGGTTAGGATTAGGGCACGGGTTAGTGTAAGGCTTCCGGTAAGGGTTAGGGTTAGGGTTAAGGTTAGGGGATGGGGACGGTTTTGGGTACAGTTTAGATTACGACAATGGTTTAGGGTGATTGTACATGTTAGGGTATCGGTTAGTGTTAGCGTATGCGTTAGGATTAGGGGACCGGTTAGGGTAAGGCTTCGGGTAAGGGTTAGGGTTAGGGTTAGGTTTAGGGGACGGGGATAGTTAAGGGTACAGTTTAGGGTATGACAACGGTTTAGGTTCAGCATAAGTGTTAGGGAATGGGTCAGTGTTAGCGTACGGGTTAGGATTATGGGACTGGCTAGGGTAAGGCTTCAGGTAAGTGTTAGAGTTAGTGTTACAGTTAGGGTTAGCGTTAGGGGACGGGGACTGTTTAGGGTACAGGTTAGGGTACGACAACGGTTAGAGTGAGCTTACGTGTTAGGGTAAAGGTTAGTGTTAGAGTACGGGTTAGGATTATGGGACGGGTTAGGGTAAGGCTTCGGGTAAGGGTTAGGGTTAGGGTTAATGTTAGTGGATGGGGACGCGGACAGTTTAGGGTACAGGTTACAGTACGACAACGGTTTATGATGAGTGTACATGTTAGGGTACGTGTCAGTGTTACCGTACGGGTTAGGATTAGGGGACGTGTTAGGGTAAGGCTTCGGGTAAGGGTTAGGTTTAGGGTTAGGGTTAGGGAATGGGGACCGTTTAGGGCACAGGTTAGGGTACGACAAAGTTTTAGGGTGAGCGTACGTGTTAGGGTACGGGTTCGTGTTAGCGTACAGGTTAGGACTATGGGACGGGTTAGGGTAAGGCTTTGGGTAAGGGTTAGGGTTAGGGTTTGGGGACAGGGACAGTTTAGTGTACAGGGTAGACTACGACAACGGTTTAGGGTGAGCGTACGTGTTAGGATATGTGTTACTGTTAGTGTACGGGTTAGGATTAGGGGACGGGTTAGGGTAGAGCTTCAGGTAAGTGTTAGGGTTAAGGTTAGGGTTAGGGTTAGGGGACAGGTATGGTTTAGGGTATAGGTTAGGGTACGACAACGGTTTAGGGTGAGCATATTCGTTAGGGTACGGGTAAGTTTTCGCATAAGGGTTAGGATTAGGGGACGTGTTAGGGTAAGGCTTCGGGTAAGGGTTAGGGTTAGGGTTAGGGTTAGTGTTAGTACACGAGGATGGTTTAGGGTACAGGTTAGGGTACCACAACGTTTTAGGGTGAGCGTATGTGTTAGGGTATGGGTTAGGGTTTGTGTACGGGTTAGGATTAGCGGATGGGTTAGGGTAAGGCTTCGGGTAAGTGTTAGTGTTCGGGTTAGGGTTAGGGTTAGGGTTAGGGTTAGGGTTAGGGGACGGGGAAGATTTAGGGTACAGGTTAGGGTATGGCAACATTTTAGGGTGAGCGTACATGTTATGTTATGGGTAAATGTTAGTGTACGGGTTAGGATTAGGGGACGGGTTAGGGTAAGGCTTCGGGTATGGGTTAGGGTTAGGGGACGGGGATGGGGATGGTTTAGGGTACTGGTTAGGGTACAACAATAGTTTAGAGTGAGGGTACGTGTTAGGGTAGAGGTTAGTGTTAGCGTACGGGTTAGGATTAGGGGACGGGTTAGGGTAAGGCTTCGGGTAAGGTTTAGACTTAGGGTTAGGGTTATGGGATGGGGACGGTTCATTGTACAGGTTAGGGTACGACAACGGTTCAGGGTGAGTGTACGTTTTAGTGTACCGGTTAGTGTTAGCGTACGTGTTAGGATTAGGAGATGGGTTAGGGTAAGACTTCGGGTAAGGGTTAGGGTTAGGGGACGGGCACAGTTTACGGTACACGTTAGGGTATGACAACGGTTTACGGTAAGCGTACGTGTTAGGGTATGGGTTAGTGTTAGCGTACGGATTAGGATTAGGGGAGGGGTTAGGGTAGGGCTTCGTGTAAGGTTTAGGTTTAGGCTTATGTTTAGGGTTATGGTTAGGGGATGGGGATGGTTTAGGGTACAGGTTAGGGTATGACAACGTTTTAGGGTGAGCGTACGTGTTAGGGTATGGGTTAGTGTTAGCGTACGGGTTAGGAATAGGGGACGGGTTAGGGTAAGGCTTCGGGTAAGGGTTAGGGTTAGGTTTATGGTTAGGGTTAGGGTTAGGGGATGGGGACAGTTTAGGGTACAGGTTAGGGTACGACAACGGTTTAGGGTGAGCGTACGTGATAGGGTACTGGTTAGTGTGAGCGTACGTGTTAGGATTATGGAACGGGTTAGGGTAAGGCTGCGGATAAGGTTTAGGGTTAGGTTTAGGGTTAGGGATAGGGGACGGAGATGGTATATGGTATAGTTTAGTGTACGACAACGGTTTAGGGTAAGCATATGTGTCAGGGTATGGGTTAGTGTTAGCGTACAGGTTAGGATTAGGGTATGGTTTAGGGTAAGGCTTCTGGTAAGGGTTAGGGTTAGGGTTAGAGTTAGGGGATGGAGACGGTTTAGGGTACTGGTTAGGGTACGCCAAAGTTTTAGGGTGAGCATACGTGTTAGGATTAGGGTTAGTGTTAGCGTATGGATTATTATTAGGGGATGGTTAGGGTAAGTCTTCGGGTAAGGGTTAGGTTTAGGGTTAGGGTTAGGGTGAGGGTTAGGGGATGGGGACGGTTCAGTGTACAGGTTAGGGTACAACAAAGGTTTAGGGTGAGTGTACGTGTTAGGATAAGTGTTAGTGTTAGCGTATGGATTAGGATTAGGGGACGGGTTATGGTAAGGCTTCAGATAAGGTTTAGTGCTTTGTTTAGGGTTAGGGTTAGGTTTAGGGGACGGGAATGGTTTAGGGTACAGGTTAGTGTATGACAACGGTTTTGGGTGAGCATACGTGTTAGGGTAAGGGTTAGTGTTTGCGTATGGATTAGGTTTAGGGTACAGGTTAGGGTAAGGCTTCGGGTAAGTGTTAGGGTTACGGTTAGGGTTAGGGTTAGGGGACGGGGACGGTTTAGGGTATATGTTAGGGTGAGACAACGGTTTGGGGTGAGCGTACATGTTAGTGCACGGGTTAGTGTTAGCGTTCGGGTTAGGATAAGGGGACAGGTTACGGTAAGGTTTCGGGTAAGGGTTAGGGTTAGGGTTAGGCTGAGGGTTAGGGGACGGGGTCGGGGATGGTTTAGGGTACAGGTTAGGGTACGACAACGGTTTAGGGTGAGCTTATGTGTTAGGGTATGGGTTAGTGTTAGCGTACGGGTTAGGATTTGTGGACGGGTTAGAGTAAGTCTTCGGGTAAGGGTTAGGGATAAGGTTAGGGTTAGGGGACGGGGACGGTTTAGGGTACAGGTTAGGGTACAAAAACAGTTTAGGGTGAGCGTAAGTGTTAGGGTACGGGTTAGTGTTAGCGTACGGGTTAGGATTAGGGGACGGGTTAGGGTAAGGCTTCGGGTAAGGGTTAGGGTTAGGGTTAGGGTTAGGGTTAGGGGACGTGGATGTTTTAGGGTGCTGGTTAGGGTATGCCAACGGTTTAGGGTGATTATCCGTGTTAGGGTGCTGATTATTGTTAGCGTACAGGTTAGAATTAGGTGACGGGTTAGGGTAAGGCTTCTGGTAAGGGTTAGGGTTAGGGTTAAGGGATGGGGATGGTTTAGGGTACAGGTTAGGGTACGACCACGGTATAGGGTGAGCGTACGTGTTAGGGTATGTTAGTGTTAGCGTACGGGTTAGGATTATTGGACGGGTTAGGGTAAGGCTTCAGGTAAGGTTTAGGATTAGGGTTAGGTTTACGGTTAGGGTTAGGGGATGGGTACGGTTTAGGGTACAGGTTAGTGTATGACAACGTTTTAGTGTGAGTGTACTTGTTAGGATATGGGTTAGTGTTAGCGTACGGGTTAGGATTAGGTGACGGGTTAGGGTAAGGCTTCGGGTAAGTGTTATGGTTAGGGTTAGGGTTAGGGGACGGGGACGGTTTAGTGTATAAATTAGGGTGCGACAGCGGTTTGGGTTGAGCGTACGTGTTAGGGTACAGGTTAGTGTTAGCGGAAGGGTTAGGATTAGGGGGCGGTTTAGGGTACGGCTTCGGGTAAGGGTCAGGGTTAGCGATAGGGTTAGGGGACAGGGACGGGGAYGGTTTAGGGTACAGGTTAGGGTACGACCACGGTTTAGGGTGAGCATAAGTGTTAGGGTATGAGTTAGTGTTAGCGTATGGGTTAGGATTRTTGGACGTGTTAGGGTAAGGCTTCGGGTAAGGTTTAAGATTAGGGTTAGGTTTACGGTTAGGGTTAGGGGATGGGGACGGTTTAGGGTACAGGTTAGTGTACGACAACGTTTTAGTGTGAGTGTACTTGTTAGGGTATGGGTTAGTGTTAGTGTACGGGTTAGGATTAGGTGACGGGTTAGGGTAAGGCTTCGGGTAAGGGTTATGGTCAGGGTTAGGGTTAGGTGATGGGGACGGTTTAGTGTATAAATTAGGGTGCGACAGCGGTTTGGGTTGAGCGTACGTGTTAGGGTACAGGTTAGTGTTAGCGGAAGGGTTAGGATTAGGGGGCGGTTTAGGGTACGGCTTCGGGTAAGGGTCAGAGTTAGGGATAGGGTTAGGGGACGGGGATGGGGACGGTTTAGGGTACAGGTTAGGGTGCGACAACAGTTTAGGGTGAGCATACATATTAGGGTAGGAGTTAGTTTTAGCGTACGTGTAAGGATTAGGGGACGGGTTAGGGTAAGGCTTCGGGTAAGGGTTAGGGTTAGGGTTAGGGGATGGGCACGGTTTAGGGTACAGGTTAGGGTACGACAACTGTTTAGGGTGAGCGTACGTGTTAGGGTATGGGTTAGTGTTAACGTACGGGTAGGATTAAGTGACAGATTAGGGTAAGGCTTTCCGTATTGTTTAGGGTTAGGGTTAGGATTAGGGTTAGTGGACGGTGACTGTTTAGGGTTAGGGTTAGGGTTAGGCTTAGGCTTAGTGTTAAGGTTAGGGGACAGGGACAGTCTAGGTTACATGTTAGGTTATGACAACTTTTTAGGGTGAGCGTACGTGTTAGGGTACAGGTTAGTGTTAGCGTACGGGTTAGGATTAGGGGACGGGTTAGGGTAAGGCTTTGGTAAGGCTTAGGGTTAGGGTTAGGGTTAGGGTTATGGTTAGGGTTAGGCTTAGTGTTATGGTTAGGGACGGGGACAGTCTAGGTTACAGGTTAGGGTGTGACAACAGTTTAGGATGATCATACATGTTAGGGTACGGGTTAGGATTAGGGGACGGGTTAGGGTAAGGCTTCGGGTAAGGGTTAGTGTTAGGGTTGGGGTTAAGTTTAGGGTTAGGGGATAGGGATGGTTTAGGGTACAGGTTAGTGTACGACAACGGTTTAGGATGAGAATATGTGTTAGGGTACGGGTTAGTGTTAGCGTACGGGTAGGATTAGGGGACGGGTTAGGGTAAGGTTTCGGATAAGCTTTAGGGTTAGGGTTAGGGCTAGTGTTAGTGTTAGGGGACGGGGACGGTTTAGGGTACAGGATCGGGTACGAAAATGGTTTAGGGTGAGCATACGTGTTAGGGTACGGGTTACTGTTCACGTACGGGTTACGATTAGGGGACGGGATAGGGTAAGGCTTCTGGTAAGGGTTAGGGTTAGGGTTAGGGTTAGGGTTAGGGGACGGTTTAGGGTACAGGTTAGGGCACGACCACGGTTTAGGGTGAGCGTACGTGTTAGGGTACGGGTTAGTGTTAGAGTACGGGTTAGGGTTATGGGACGGGTTAGGGTAAGGGTTAGTGTTAGGGTTAGGGTTAGGGTTAGGGTTTTGGACGGGGACGTCTTAGGGTACAGGATAGGGTATGACAATGGTTTAGGGTGAGCGTATGTATTATGGTACAGGTTAGTGTTAGCGTACTGGTTAGGATTACGGGACGGGTTAGGGTAAGGCTTCGGGTAAGGGTTAGGGTTAGGGTTAGGGTATGGGGACGGTTTAGGGTACAGGTTAGGGTACAACAACGGTTTAGGGTGAGTGTACGTCTTAGGGTACGGGTTAGTGATAGCATACGGGTTAGGATTAGGGGACGGGTTATGGTAAGGCTTCGGGTAAGGGTTAGGGCTAGGGTTAGGGTTAGAGTTTGGGGATGGTTTAGGGTACATGTTAGTGTACGACAATGGTTTAGGGTGAGCGTACGTTTTAGAGTACAGGTTAGTGTGAGCGTACGGGTTAGGATTAGGGGATGGGTTAGGGTAAGGCTTCGGGTAAGTGTTAGGGGTAGTGTTAGGGTTAGTGTTAGTATTAGGATACGGGGACGGTTTCGGGTACAGGTTAGGGTAAGACAGGGGTTTAGGGTGAGCGTACGTGTTAGGGTACGGGTTATTGTTAGCGTACGGGATAGGATTAGGGGACGAGTTAGGGTAAAGCTTCGGGTAAGGGTTAGGGTTAGGGTTAGGGTTAGGATTAGAGGACAGGGATGGTTTAGGGTACAGGCTAGGGTAGGACAACGCTTAAAGGTGAGCGTACATGTTAGGTTATGGGTTAGTGTTAGCGTACGGGTTCGGATTAGGGGACGGGTTAGGGTAAGGCTTCGCGTAAGTGTTAGGGTTAGGGTTAGGGCATGGGGACGGGGACAGGGACGGTTTTGGGTACACGTTAGGGTACGACAACAGTTTAGGGTGAGCGTACATGTTAGG